ATGTAAATTATTTTTTTACATAAAAAAAATATTATATATAGGCAGAAAAAGAACATGAAATTAATCGTAGAACTCAGGGAAAAGCTATGCAAGATGTTTATCGACAGCAAAATGAAGCTAAAACTAAAAAAATTGCTGATGAATTTGCAAAACAAAAAAAAGATGAAGAGGAAGCAAAAAGACGTATTAGAGAACAGATTGCATTGGATAAAGCTGAACGTCAAGCTAAACGACAAGCTGAATTATCATTACGTCAACAACTACAACAAGAAGAAGAACAACAAGAGATATTTAGTAAAAACGATAAAGTTGGAATAATTAATGGAAGGCAAGTTTATTTTGTATATTACTAAAAAAAATTTTAATAGATAAAATATTATTTATGTAATGTAATTTTTGTTTTAATATATATAAATTATATATTATGTGATTATTTTATTTTATTATTATTATAATTATTAATAGCTAGAATCATAGTGATATAAGTGTGCGGGTTTTAAATGGTGGTATTGTTGGAAAAAAATTTCAGTGAACACAAGCTCTTGAAGATGTTAAAACTTGGATTGAAGAGGTAATAAAATACATTTAATATAATATTATTATATACTCACACACTGTATGCTACTACAAAATAATTTTAATTTTAATTTATAAATAATTCTCTTGATTCTAATTAAAGGATCGAACAGATGGAAAAGCTCCTTATAATTTAATTCAAAATTTTCCACATCGTCAATTCAGTATTAATGATGAAACTAAATCACTTAAAGAATTAAATCTTTGTCCAAGTGGAACATTAATATGCAAGGTTTTCTTCTATTTAATTTATTTTTTATTTTTTTAAAATTAAAATTAAAATTAAAAATATTTTACATGTACAATTTTTACACATATATTTTAAGCCAAGTAAAAATGTTTCCATAGCATATTCGAGTGATGGTGGATTCATTTGGAATTTTTTTTCATTAGGGTTTTCAATGATTGGAACTTTGTTGAGTTATATCAATCCATTTTACTATTTTTATAGTGGTAATAGTCAACAACAACAGAGACAATTTAGAAATTCTAATAATGAAAGACATGTACCAAATAACAATTCCAATCAATCTGATAATCACAACAACGATGATATTATTAACAACAACAACAACAATAATAATAGCAGCAGTAGTAGTAAATCATCAGAAAGGTAAAAAAAACGAATAAATATTTAATATTAAAAAATATTTTATTTTATTTTTATTATTTTTTTAGGCGTAACTATGGTGGTAACAATGTTAGAACTCTTTCGCAAAACGATGATGATATTGATAAACGATGGACTTATAATGGAAATTCCACAAATCAGGAATAAACATTTTTGATTTGAAAAACAAACAAAATTGCTTTATCATATCATATTTTTATTATTATTTTTTTAACATTAATATTTTTGAATTAATAATATATGTTGCAATTTATAATTAATAATAAACACAATTTCATATGGAAGGGCATACTGAAACAAAACCAGCTTTTTCATAATGTCACAAGATAATTTGAAAGCATTGAAAAATTGCTCAACGTTACAATTGTACTATTGATGTGATTTATATCAGTAGTGTAGTCCTTTGCCTGTCCTTATTTTCATCGCTTCTTGTTTCTCATTTTAATCATTTAATAAGGTAATTGGTCCAAAGGTAGGCAGATACTGGATTGTTTTCATTTGTTGGGTTATTGCCTAGT